GTCAATTCGTCCCGTTCTAGTTTACCGAATTTCTTGCACCGGGAGGAGGATTCTTAGGCAATTCTCTATTTTGAGGGCAATTTGTTTGAATGTGACCTCTCTGTCCACATTTATTACAAATCAAAATAGAATTTGGACTGGCATTTTTACTAACATTGGGATTAGGTGGATGTTCTACAATTTCATTCTTACAATCCCTTTGAACATGACCTCTTTCTCCACATTTAAAACATTGTGGTGGACCCCATCTACTTTGATTTATGTTTCCATTCTGGGGTGATTTTACAATTCTACTAGAATTTCTCTGAGAATTTGACGGTGACACCCATGCATCATTCATTCTTTTCATCTGATCACACATTGCAGACATGGTTTTTTGCATGTTGTAGAGTAATTGATTTCCACTTCCATTCTCCACACTCTGATCAGACATTCCAACTTGTCTAATATGCACATTTCTCCCACCTGTACCATACACTGCTTTGAAGTTATTGTTTGCAACTTTCACAAACTCTAACGCTTCAAATAAATCTTTAGGCTCTTTATCCATAGCCAATTTTGCAGATTCTTTGTCACGACACCCTCTCAAAAATGAATCCACAGCTATTCCTTCACCACCTTCTGCATATCCCTCTCTAGATGCCATGAACACACGATGAGAAAAATCTTGCAAAGATTCGCTTTCACCCTGTCTCATTGATTGAAGTGCTCTACGTGCAGATGAAGCAGACTCTTTCATACTAAAACGTTTTGACATCACTTCTTTCAAACGTTTATATTTGCAATTTCCAAACTCTACCGCATACTCAAGAGCTCTGTCTTCCAAACATTCAATCATTCTGCTAGTTTTTCTTTTATCATTCCATCCATATCTTTCTGCCATTCCTTCAAATTTAAATACAAAAGCTTCCCAATTTTCTCTTCCATTCCCACTAAAACTAGGCATTTTATGAACAGGTCCTTTTTCTCTTTCAACTAAAGGAACTCTTTTCTGTTCACATTCAGATTCACTTTCACTATCACTTTCATTCTCTGCTAGTTTCAGTATTGGTTTTTTCACAGGGGTTTCCAAACTTTTCTTTTTACTACTTCTAGGTGCAGGTGTGGGTCTACTTTTAATATTTCTAGGAGTTGGCCTAGGAATTTTTTCTAAATCATGTTGTAAATGCATTCTCTCATACTGAGTTTGCAAATGATTATGACGGGCTGTCATCTCATCCAATTCCAATTTCAAATCCATTTTTTCAATTTCACACTTCTGTAAACTTTCTACACGTTTTCTCAACAATTCATTCTGTGTTTCAACCTGTGTATGTAACATCATTTCTTTTGTGGAATACTCTCGACACTCTTCTTCCATTTCCATTTCTTTTTTCATCAACACTTGTTTAGTTTTTCCCAACTCACTCTGAATTTTCACATTTCTTTCTTTCAACATATCATTTTCAATTTTCAAATCACACTTCTCACTCTCTAAAACATACTTTTCATTTTTCAACACAGATTTCTCATCTTCCAACTTTTTAACCTTAGCATCATTCATCTCCAATTCACTTGATAAAAATTCTATCTTTTCTCCAGCCTCTTCAACCTCATCTCGAAGATTTGATATCATTTCATTTTGAACCTTCACTCGCTCCATCAACTTTCTATACTTTTCTTCCCAATTCACACTCTCTTCCTTTTTCTCATCTCCAACTTTTGAACCTTCATCTTTTTCTTCCATTACACCCAGAATCACATTACCCTTCTTTTCCCATTTCTGCCATTCTGCCACACTAATTTCTTCCAAATCACTCAACAGCAATTTTCCTTTTTGATTTCTCAAAGACACCAATCTATGAGCTTTCACTGGACCAATTCCTTTCAAATTTTTCAATTCTGTCTCAGACGCTGTCTGCACATTCAACACAACACTGCTTTCTACATTACCCGACGCCATTTTCACTTCCAGTTTCCCACAACCTATTACACAATTTTATTGATAATAGCAATGCAGCTGTGCCACAAAAACTACACAATAAAATACTTTCACCACTACCACACTTTACTGTTTGAAGAAAGTTTCAGCAAAAAGCCACTACTAAACTTCACAGTAAATACAAACAAAATCTCTCACACTATTCAACCTACTCACATGTACACCTATGATGAAAACACTTTCAACACAGACGAACAAGGTAGAATAGTACTCTATCAATATATGCTATTGCAATATTGATAAAAATATACAATAAACAATTCACACTCACTCCCTCATTCAGCAAGTCAGTGAAAAACACAAATTTGAAACCTTTATTTTAAATAAATGCTTTTCTTTGTAAATAAACTCACTAAATAATGCTCTGTATTCTAATTACAACATAAGGCTCTACACGCACGGGCCTGTAATTACACGTGGTCTATCCGTCTACTACTCAGTACACGTGGTCTTTCTGACTACTACTCACTACACGTGGTCCGCAATGTCTCTGCAGTTGTAATATCACAACAGAAAATTAATACAAAATATCTCTAAACTACTAAAATGAATACTACTTTGACAATATTTACTGAATTGCCGCGAGTATCAGCCAACACTGAAAATGAAATATCACTGCAATATATTCCGACTAGTTCGCGTCTTGCAAAAAGTCCCGACTAACACGTGTCACTATCTTTCCAACTCTCACTCAGTCATACTCAAAGCTTTTCAAAAATTCTAATATCACTAATAACTACCAAGCTTCACAAATTATATCCCGTAAATTGACAACGTTAGCTACACCACGCTCTGTCAATTTAACAACATATGCTACACAAATTCTATCCTCTAATAACGTTAGCTTCACAAAATTCTATCCTGTCAATTAATAAGCAACACAAACCAATCCTGTCGACTGCGCCAATTGTTACGCCTTCGCGGCCGAGTGCCTTATGAAGGTACAAATAACAATGTACTTACTGGTATCTCAGAGTTAAACACAAAGCCAAAAAGCCTCAAGAGAAGAGCAAAAGACAGCCGCTAAGAGCAAAGAGGCCAAAAGAGAGCGATTTATTTCACGTTACACCTTATATACAAGTTCAGATAGTACACGTTTACCAATCAGAACCAACTATACAGTGAACAGTTTTACCTTTAAGTTACCAATCACGGGAGAGATTCAAACTTGCACACCGGACAACACTTTACTTACAGAGACATCTACCGGTAGCAATATAAAATAATCTCAACTAACACACTACATCGTCACACTATATTCAGAGCTCGTTTTCAATCACACTAAGAATAACAGTTGAATAAATTTACCACAATGAACGACAGCAGTGCTACTGCAAGATATACTTGGTATACCTGTATCACTATATTGTATTTCGGTAGTACCGGTGCATTGTACTGGTCGATTAAAACCATGTTAAATAAAAAATATAAGATGCAAAATTTCCAAGGTAGTTTGTAATGAGATTTCTTTTCCCGCTTCTGAACATAAACTTGCAAATACTCAAAGTCTGTAGGCCTAGGTGATTGTGGCTACAGTTCCTGTTTTGATCCCATGGTTTTCATAAAGAACGGCGTTTCTGAATAGACCGTTACAGTAGTCATCCATGGGCGGGAGGTTTGTATGATCAAGGTGGCAGCCTTGAGTTAAGTGAATTACAAATAAATATTTTATTCTTAGAACATTTTTAATAATCATTCTGTACAATTTTTTAGTATAGCATGTTTTCCTCTGTCAGCACTACCTACCCGCAGCAATCTCTATAAAACAAAATGAACAAAAGGTACCTAATTCCAAACAAAATTATGAATAGCGTTTAGTTTGATGTTAAACAAAAACTTGGCGAGATTGCTTCATTAATTGCTGTTCAAAAATTTCAACGAAAACAGAAAGGCATAATAGCGGGTAAAACATTTGAAAAGAATCATGTAAGTGTGATTTTTGTTTTATCGCTCATAATGATATAATGACGCTCGATTCATCTTTGATCAAATTATATTTGAAAACAGTCCGGGGAGGAGGGGGGTGGGGGTGGTGCCACCAGGGGCGCAGTGCAGGTGCGCACTAGGTCCTTTACATCAACAGGCACGCCATGTATACGGTACTTCAGCTATGAGACGCATTGCACCAGCTGTGTAATACTATTAGATTTAAGAAAATTTCTTCAATCAACAGCTTTATGTATCATTTAATTGTTTACCTCCATCTCAGTTTTGCATAGCGGAGAGGACTTCCATGCCCTATTTGATACCCAGGCGTATCTGATATTGGATAGTTTGGAAGTGATTTAATTCTTTTCTTTACTGTATGGAGAGCATTACTCAGCGTATTTTCAACTACATTTTTTATATAAACCCTACAATCCACGCGCTTCCGTCACTTTGATCTCTCGATTATCAAGTAAAAACAATTATATTAGGCGTTGGAAACAAAAATGGCAGATTTGTGCCCCTCCCACTTCGACCCGAAGGATTCACCGAAGGTAAGACTGTAACGGTAATCGCAAGGAACAGATCGTCCATCTTCCAGCCGCGGCTCTAATTGTGTTTGTTGCGCACATATTCGTAGTTTTCAACCAGTGCTATGTGTGTACATTTTTCTGTTTATTATTAAACGCAATAACTGATAACGAGGCTTATGGAATATGATGATTAGCCTTAACATCAGTGCATGAACCTTTTTATGCCTCCTTAAACTCTAGTATTAATGCGTTAATCTCAATTGAAAAGAGAGAAAAGATCAATCGGTACTAACTTTTCTTGATGGCCTTATCCTTTATAATGAGTTTCCTAATTAAACCCATATCCGTCCGTAACTTTTTATTGTTTTGAGTTTGGCAGTTATCCAACAAACCAACAAAGGCAAAAAAAAAAAAAAAAAAAAAAAAAAAAAAAAATAGCCTCCTTAGTGGAGGTAAGAATTCTTAAGTTGATTCACCTGTTTAATATGGCAGGAGAAGAATACGCTCTTCACTAAATGTTTGTTTTGTAATTCAAGTGTTTAAGTACACAGAACTTATCGCTAACGGAACAGCGCAGTAATATGGCGATAGCATTTTTGAAGTCGGTTAATGCATTCTTAGCATTATACTTTAATTCTCTCCTGTCATCCCAGCCCCAAGTGACCACGAAGAATGGTGAAATACAGGGAATTGTGGAAACAGTCCAGGGACAGCCTGTCAATCTGTTTCTTGGTATTCCTTTCGCTGACCCACCTGTAGGAAGCCTCAGATTTATGAAACCCCAGCCTGTATCCAACTGGACTGGCATTAGGAACACGACTGCCTATGGCGCAGTGTGTATGCAGGAGGAAATGTTAATTTCTCATGGTACTCAGGTAATTATTAAGGGCAGGAGGGAAGAATGGATGATTGCTTGGTTGAATGAAAGTGTGTGTGTGGAGAGAGAGAGAGAGAGAGAGAGAGAGAGAGAGAGAGAGAAAGAGAGAGAGAGAGATTTGTAGATCTTATGGAGGGAAAAGAAGTGTACTTTGTCAAACATGGATCTATTTATTGCAAAGATACTGCCTTTATATAGATCACATGGATATGGTATGTGATTCTCGCAATGAACAGTGTCGATACACCATGTTTTACCACCTTTATATAAGTTTCTTACACGTAATTTCAGTAGCAATAAAGATTCTTGCAGATTCTTGGTATTTTCCGGTCCATAGCCTGCGGTCAAGCATTTTCTTTCGCGTTGGTCAACGTTATCTCTGAGGTTCCCAATACCTTCAGACCCCCAAACCCCCCTGGCCACGGACTGTATTTAGTTTGTTTCCATGGGAGACCATTAGGGAGATATGCGGCATCGCTTTCAAGTGGGCTCGGCCATATTTGATCCGCGGACCAGTTAGTCCACTTAAAAGCTAATTTCCTAATAGACAGTGAATAGATACCCCGTGGGAATTACGGAACAAGCATTCAAGTGGGTCGGTCATATTTGATCCGCGGACTAGACAGTCCGCTGTTGGAAATGCGGCAATTGTTGTACATCAGTGGTACCGATCGCAACATTGAATTGTTGTTGAAATTATGATTTTATGATTTCATAAGCCCAGTATTGTTTTTTTAATCTTGTTATATAATATTACACCACAGGATAAATCAGAGCATTCACTGACTATTTCTTCACTAGATGTCCGAGGACTGCCTGACCCTGAACGTGTTCGTTCCCGGCACCTTGAGCAACACAACCAGGAAGGCTGTGATGGTGTGGATTCATGGCGGCGGCTTCATGAACGGAGGGACCAACGTGTACCATTTTCATGAATTCGGTAAGGGTCACTGTGACCGTGTCGAGAAACGACAGCGAACTCAGGGTTCGTGTAATAGGGTACCCGTCTTCCGTTACATTTCTACAACTTAAAGAGTTAGCGTGACTAATTGGCTCAAACTCTGTGAATGTGAAACCAGGGCTCCGTAGCTCGAAAGGTTCGCTATGTTGCGCACGTGCGTTAGTGTCTCGATTCCATGGCCCCGTATCTCGAAATAGAATCGGTTATGGAATCGAGACACTAACGTTCGTGCGCAACATAGCGAACCTTTCGAGATACGGAGCCCAGGCGTCTCTTGTTATGCAGCACCACACCACGCAAAATCAACACGTCTTAATATTTTTCTTAAACCTGCACTGGGCCCTCCTTTTCAGCTATTCAAGGTGACGTCATCGTAGTATCAGTCAACTACCGCTTGGGTGCATTTGGATTCTTGACCACTGGTGACGTCAACGCTCCTGGTAACGCTGGACTCTGGGATCAAATAGAGGGACTGAAGTGGGTGAGAGATAACATAGAAAACTTTGGCGGAGACCCTAATAAGTAAGTGCTTAATAACTGTCAATGGTAGACACTTTTTATCTGCACCAATGTCGTCAGGTTCTATATGCAAGGCACATTTTTGGACATATTATCTATATTAATGCATATAAAAAACATTCTGATTATAGCTACTGTTTTGGTTTTTTAAGAAAATTAAACATTTTTTAATACTCGTCTCAAAAGGTAAGCAAATTCAAATCAATGAAAACTGATATAAATATAACCGGTAAGCTGTTCAGCGCCAAAAATACAGAATGCGTTTTCAAATAAGAGAAGTAACGTTGGCAAAGTAACGTGTGTTCTAATTCACTTTCGATCCACTAATTGGGTTTTACTGTATGTCTTCCTTAAATTCTTTGAAATATTTGCCAGTAGTGATGAGTTTAATGTTTAACACAGTTTTATGTAATAGTTGTCCACTTGTAGAATATATCAAAATTGTCATTTCAAGTGTGACCATCTTCGGTGAGTCGGCAGGTGGCAGTTGTGTCTCGCAATTAGCCATGACATTAGCCGCTAGAGGTCTCTTCCGTCGCTTTATATCCATGAGTGGCACTGCGCTGACCGAGTCGGCCTGGGTGAAAGACGATGCCGATATTGCTACCAAAGTTGGACAGAATCTTGGGTGTAATGCTGCAGCCTCAGAAAAGGCAAAGTTGGCAGCTTGTCTCCGCGACGCCAATGCGACCGCCCTGCTCAAAGCGTCAGCTCGGGAAGTGTTCCCTAGGCATGTTACAACACCATTTGGTCCTGTCGTTGATGGCGACATGTTTCCTCTAACTGTGTTGGAAATGCTGAAGGATAGCAACTCGGACGTGGTGAGAAACTTCTTGTCTCTGGACTACATGGGCGGATTCACGAACTCTGATGCTGGAGTCTACCTTCTTGTGCTACCCTTTAACACCACCCTTGGCGTTCAGCCCAGTTATATGAAGGATACCTTAATCCCTCAGTTTGCAGCGGAGGTGTCCTCCTACCACCAAGATGAAATAGCACGGAGACTTAGAGGACTTTATTACGACGCAAGTGCCGACATGGCAGAGACTGGACGTCTGATGGTCAACTACTACACCGATACCCTTTTTGCTGTGCCTACAGTTGGCTTCCTCAGATATCATCTCATGGCACCAGGTGGCTCCACCTATCTTTTCTATTTCACCAAGGAACCCTCGTTCCCGCATTTGGTACCTGTGCCTGCCTGGTTTGAGGGAGCAAACCACGGGGACGATCTCCTCTTTATGTTGGGCTTAGAAGTTGATGTCTTGATAAACAATATTAATTTCACCGAGGCAGAAAAGAATATTTCCACAGCCTTTATGACCTACTTTGCGAATTTTGCAAAGACTGGGTAAGTCTGAATGCATGTGTCAACGCTTAACCTTCAAACTATACGTTGCAGATGACTTTATCATTATTTAATTATACATGTATATTCGGGGTTAAGTGACGTCACCAAAATTAGGTATATGAGCCAAATTTACAGGCAAGAGACGATACGCAGTGAGAAAAAATGGTATTATAATCTCAGTAATTACATGAGTACCTTCCATTATTATTATTAATAATTATCATTGTTAATTTTTGTACCTTTACAGAAATCCTAACACCCCTGATGCAGTCCCAAGCCCGTGGCCAAGCTATACGCATGCGGATGAGGCGTATCTAGACATCGGTGACGTCATACTCAATGAAACTGACGTCATACCAGAGCGTATTGACCTCTGGTTAGACACCGTCCCTGCCATAATCGCCAAACCGACCACTTCCGCTCCGCCCACCACGCCAGTGGCCAGTGATGGGAATCTGGACCTAATTAGCACTATACTTGTTGCTCTTATCTTGTTGAACACATTGATACCATTTCCTTAAATGCACTCCATTGTTGACTGATCTTTTCAGTGAATCAGAGTGACCTCTATTTTGCATAATTTTAAAATGCCGTATAGTCTTTTGTTATTTACCTGTAAAAAAGGAAGTGTCGTTTATGTCTGTAAAGTAGTGTTTTATACTCTTTGAGTTTATAACATTAGCATAAATAGCTTTTTTTCTGTCATAATATGTAAGTGGTCAGTGTAAGCTCTACATGGATAGCCAAATGTGGACGTGGGGACTGTTTCACGAGACAGTTTTACCCCAAAGGTGATCTAACAAAATATAACAGGAAAATACCTAACAAAAGAACAAAAGACTAAAAGTTGCTCTTAACTTTTAGATTTGAAAATTTTGTCTTCTTCGGTAGTCCTGTAAAAATGATGTAACTCTTGATCTGCGATATCAGCCCATTTCTTTGTTTGCTATACACACATGTAGGACAGGCGCAATATTCCATTTGAGTAAACAACATCTGACACAGTTCGGGGTCAAAATGGGCTGAAAAGCGCGAGTTTCCAGTTAAGACCAACGTCCGATATCAAGTCCTGTTGTGAGGCCAGTCCATGGTGCAAATTGTACGATAATCATCGTCTTGATTGACACTGCTGGGAACCAAGAGCTATCTGACCTTCTGCGGATACAGGCCTACCCAACTGCCAGACTCGGCACATAAGGATCCTGAATCAACCAGTATATCGGACCACACTACCCGTTTTCAAGGTGTGTGTCAGATCGCATTTCGGAGTACCAGTCAGAACACCGACAGGATGAGCCCGCGGTCGTCCTACAAAATTTGTTTTGGTTAATTCAGGATCCTTATGTGCCGAGTCTGGAAGTTGGGTAGGCCTGGGATAGAGTGCAACATAACATTTTCTTGTGGAATGGCGTTTTATTGTTGATAGAATACATGTATATATAAGGATAATTGCGCTGTCTTTGCCACCATGTTTCTGATAACATTCCATTAAAACAAGTCTTGTTTGAAATGGATTGTAATATAATGAAAAAAATTACAACTCTTTTTCAATGAAAAGGTACTGAAAAATAAAGCACTCTATACGCCTATAAGGTGCTCACTGAGCGCTCTTGTGCTTTTAGGGGTTATGACTTTAATCTCCATGCATACACATAAATTGAATAGGTAAAATTTAACAGATTCAAGTGCCTACGTGTACCTACATCCTAGAATTGTTTTTAAAATCTTTGAAATCGCTGTTAAATTGATTTGAAAAAAGGCCTTATTATAACTGAATTCATCGCAGCTGGGATTGTACTGTTAACACCGCACCGCAGGGAGAAATCTTATCTATTGAACTCTGCACTCACCTTTTGACATACGTTATGATAGGGTATGTCAAAGTCTATATCACTCACTGTCATCCCGCGCAAAACGACTTGCTGATTTCACAGTACGGGCAATAGAAATGAAGGGCAGACACGTAACAAGCCTTACCCTAACGTTTTGTATTCTAACAACGTTTCTATACAGGCAAGTTAGCAGCCAGGGGCTGGTTAACACCACGAATGGTACCTTGAGTGGGATCAGGGAGATGATTGGCGGGAAACCAGTGCACCTGTTTCTGGGTATTCCATATGCCAAGCCCCCCGTAGGCGAGCTCCGGTTTAAGAATCCACTGCCCGCCCTAAACTGGACAGGTGTCAGGAATGCCACCGAGTTTGGAGACACCTGTATGTCGGCGTCCCCAGTGTCGCCTAAGGTAGGTGGGTATTGCAATATATCCAGCCGGGATGGGTTTCTGATCATGTGTTCGACCATTAAGCAAATCATCCACCAGTCCCCAAACAAGCGCCCTCCGCAGGGTGGGAAACCGTATGACAATCTAAGACGAGTGGTGGTATGTGCTGGCGGGTTGACTGGTCACGTATAAGTTGGTTGGTATATACTTTAGGTCTCAAAACAACCGTGGTGAAAATACAACTTTCAGTTTTGTTCGATATCAGTAATTACACTTTCATGAATGTCCGTTTTATCTGATTACAAGCCGACGTGCAAAGAGAATCTGGGCCAGAAACATTTCGGAAGAATGGGAAGGTGGGGGAAAAGATCCCTTGCTATTAAAACATTCATTATATCATATGCCATGCACAAATCCGCACATTATATCTAATTGTTAAGTTTATGTACAAGGAAAAACTGATTCTACGGGGAACGTTCAAAGTTTAGATGAATAATATTATGACCCTGTTGTTATCGTCACTTTATTCCATCGTCTCACTCTACATACAAACATAGCCTGCGTGACGATAATCAAAGTACATGAGTTGAAAAACAACATTGATTCATGGCATGGTTCACCTGAATCAAAGTTTTTAAAAATAATCGGCACAAGAAATAACACCGTTTTTGACATTTTAGATGATAGACAGACAGACAGACAGACAGACTGACTTATGGATAACATTAGGGTCCTTTCTTTTCAATTTGCAACCCTAGCTAGCTGTCTAACGTGAGGTTCACTTGAAATCCCGTATTGGCAATTCTTTTATTAAACTGTTTGTCCTCCTTCAGTCTACTTGATACATGGTTATGTAAACAACTTGGTATTTATTTTGCGTCATTTTTACCTGTGTCTCTTTCAATCATGTCGATGTAGTTTTAAAATTAATCGGAATCACGTTTGCCAGGTACACTGTATTTGACTTGTCATCCGTAAATGTGCGGGTCATATATTATTTAAAGAACTATCAAAAAACTACACTACCGAGCGACAGGCAGATCTGCTCTTTATTGTCTGGCACGTACGGTGTGACTGTTCTGTGATCCGATATTATCCGGAGGAAAGGCTACATACATAGAGGAAGCCTTACACGTTAAACCTGGGGTTGCTCAATGGAAAAAAATAACAATCGAGAGCATTATATAGCGTCAATAAAACAGAGATTGTGGCTTTTTTTTATATGTAAAGATACACAATGTATCTGTACAAATGAAGACGGTAAGGTACACTAACGTTCTGTGTTTGCTGGGAGGACGGCTGGGGAGGTTTCTGATCCAATAGTTGAACTATACATCAATCTTATCTGTAAATATGACCTACGATTGTGACATACAAACATTGTAGTTATAGGTTGATGGAAAGGGTTGAACTTTATCATGTGGCACATTCTGTCCCCTCCTTTACCAAATAAAGGGGGGGGCATAAAAGTACAGAGTTTGTAAAAGCCTCTTTCATGTACTCAGCACTGAAAAATAACTTAATTTGTAATATTTTTCAGTTTTATCTACTCCAGGAAACATTAGAATCTATTTACAAAAACACAAAATTTGCTCCGTTTTCAGATGTCCGAAGATTGCCTCACTTTAAATATCTACGTCCCAGGTGACGTCATCGACAGCGGTCATAGCAATGTGACGAAAGCAGTGATGGTATGGATCCACGGTGGCGCATACAGGTCCGGGGCGTCCTCGGAATATGACTTCAGAAACTTTGGTTAGTTTTATAATACAATTTACGTCTGAATAAAAAGATTATACATAAAACCAGGCATGCACAGAAAGCATTATTTATTTATTTATTTATTTATTTATTTATAGAGACCTAAGTGCGATAATATGCCTATGGGTGAAAATTTAATTTGATAACAACCTTTGTCAATTTGCAAACCTTTTAAATGCAAATCTCACTTTATTTTTGATTTTGTCCTGCCATTCACAAGCCATCATTTTTATAATGTTTCCTATACCCAATG